GCTGGCGCCACGACTGGCGCCGAGTGGGCGGAGTGCACGACGAGCTGCGAGGTGAGCTGACACCTGTTCCCGAGGAAACTCGGCATCCCCTGCATGGCCAGCCTCCCTCGGGGCTGGTCGCCACCTCTCTTGGCGCTGAAGGGGCAACGGGCTGAACGGCCGGAGCACGCGGCGTTGGCGCGCGACGGCCGTGACGGAGCGGCGCCACCTCGTGTCGGATTGGTGTTGGTGCTGATGCCGAAGCTGCTCGGGTTGTGGAGCCAGAGGGGCTGCTCCGCTTTGAAGCCTCCTTGTTCACCTCCAGGGGCCGACCGCAAGGCCAAGGACCGAGGCCGCGCGGAAGACGGAAGAGGCCGAGGCAGCGGCGGCAGAGCGGGCTGAGGCGGAAGAGATGACCGCCGTGCCACTGGCGCTGCCAGCGGTTGGAGAGGGCAGACCCACTGGCCGACCTGGACGTCACTGCTCTGACGAACACGAGACGCGGGTGTTAGGCGACAGTGAAGACGCAGAAATTGCACAGGACGGCCTCCACTGCCAGCGCGGAGCATGCCGCGAAAGAGGTGGCAAATATGGTTGTGGAGGTTTCTGGGGCTGCGTTCTGCGTCGCAGGACTAGCCGAGTGCCCCAGGGCGGGTCCAGCCAAGCTCGAGGTGACCTTCAGCATTGACGGCGAGGAGAAGGAGCAGGATATGACATACGACGAGCTGCACTCTTGGTTTTCGCGCTGACGAAAACGAGCGCGAATAAGACATCAAGCTCCTCTTGCCTCGGCGGCGGCAAAGCGTATCACCATGGCGGCCGCGGGCACCGTCGCGTACGTGGAGACTGAGGACGACGACCTGTTCGAATATATCCAGCATGTCTTGAATGACCCTACCCATGTCGTCGTCCTGGCCTTAATTCAGGCAGCGTAAGAAACCCAGTATTGACGCCCAGACCTTACAAGGTTTCAGCTGCGATGCATGTCTGTGTTGCTGCTTCGCTCGCAACAAGTCTGTATCGCAAGAGTACACAACGTCCTGCCCGTCTGTCATCCAAAAAAGGCTTTAGCATAGAACAAGCTGACACGCTCGTTGTTTCACCCAAACATTTCCGTCATAACCTCTTATGAGCATGCACGCGTCACATAACATTAAGAGCAACAGGACGTACGATCAAGAATCGACAGCAAGATCACACTTCAACAGTCCGCACCATTACCCTTCATCAGTATCATACAGACCGAGAGCATACGCGCCAATAGCTGCCACCGCGAGCATACACCAACGACATGCGTCAATCTCTGTCATCAGTAGTATATACCGAGAACACTCACCAGTACCATTCACCCACAACCAGCTCCTACAGCATACATCAATCACGATGGCAGGCAGATGTGTGGCTGGAGATCTTTTCCTTCCGGCTGGAATTGTGTGTCCACGGCTAGTCAGAAGTCGCAGGAGTCGCGGTGTTGCGCTGTCCGCGTGCATCTAGAACATACAGCGATACCATATTTAGAATGTACACCAGTTACATACACCAAGCACACAGTAGTAGCACAGCTGCCACGGGGAGACCTGCAGGACATACATTTAGAACATGCATTGACATCGTCCCCCCATCCGCACCATCAATGACATACACCAAACACGTCCAAAACGTACACCAATTGCAGCAAACAGTACCAATGGAAGACATGAGCATAGCATTCCAATAGTATGCATCAAGTGCAGGTACCAATGATAGAACATCATGGGCAAACTGCAACAGTACGCACTATGAAGATACAACATATCAGTCACATTCAACAGTCTGAGAAGTCAAGAACATACATCACATACGGACACCAGTGACACACACACACCAGTAACAGAGGCCGAGATCAGGCATCAATGGCAATCATCAAGCATATTCATCAAGGATCGTCATCGGTCACATAGTTCAAGAGCCAGGCATCAGGATCATACATCAAATGCAGACACCTTGAACGTACACGAACGAGCGTTCATACCACGAAGATCAAGGACGCCAAGGGGTACAATCAACAGGCATCAATAACTAGTATCGAGAGCATCAGTGTGCGACATAGCGAATGTACACGCATGGCAGACGTAATCAGCATACGAGCATACATGAACGACTCATATGAGTACTCTACACACATAGCGCTCATCGCGTCGTGGGCCGATTGCGATGTCTACAACGGCCAGGGGCACGAAGGCAAGTGGCACGGTCGTGGCCGGCTCGCATTCGCAAGCGGTGATTTTGCGACGGCCAAAGGCACGGGAACGTGTAGCACGACCAAGGCAGTGTTTTCTCACTAATTGTTGACCGTTCGTGCAGGCGAGCAAGGAGGGCGCATTGTTGGTGGTTCTAACAGATGGTTCTACCTTGCATTTCGCCGTCTCGGAGCGCATATGAGCAAGGAGTTTGCACTGGCGGCTGTGAAATCCGACGGATTTAGAGTTCGCCGCCTCGGAGTTGCCGGCGAGAAGGGAGGTGATCTTGGCTGCTGTGCAGAACAACTGGTGTGCCTTAAGATTAGCCTGGCGAATGACCCAACCATTCGCAGATGTGAGTACAGCAATTGTGGATATCCTCTTCGGTGGAGCTCCCTATGGGGCCACGAACCGCGTGAGGGGTGTTCCGAAATGTGTGGCGGGGACGCATGCAAACTGTGCCACCGGATGCCACTGGGGCCTTCGGAGGAGCTCCCTATGGGGCCACGAAATGTGCGAGGGGTGTGCCGAAAGTGGTTGCGGGGACGCATGCCGACTGTGCTATTTGGGCCTTCGGTGGAGCTCTCTAGGGGGCCACGAACCGTGTGAGGGGTTTGCCGAAATTGGTGGCGGAGACGCATGTAAACTGTACCAATGGGGCCTTCGGTGGAGCTCCCTACGGGGCCACGAACCGCGTCTGGGGTGGGCCATAATGGGTGGCAGGGACGCTTCTAAACTATACCACTGGGGCCTGGACGTGTGCGGGGTATGCCGAAATTGGTGGCGGGGACGCATGTAAACTGTGTTACTGGGGCCTTCTGTGGAGCTCACCTATGGGGCCACGAACCGTCTGAGGGGCTGTGCCGAAATGGGTGGCGGGGACACATGTCAATTGTGCTATTTGGGCCTTCGGTGGGCCTCGAAACGTGCGAGGGGTGTGCCGGAACGGGTGGCGGGGACGCATGTAAACTGTGCCACTGGATGC